TCGAGTACCTGGTTCATAAAACGCCTAGATTTAGATCAGGGCTTCTCCCAGGAGTACTTCCCACTTGGCCACGCTCATGAAACACTCCAACTCGTCTTCGTTGGTCTGAATCAAAGATAACCTTGTTACAGGCGTTTGTCTGTGTTTTTGCTGCGGAATATTCGATCGTGCTGTACTTTGCCACTTCTTGGATCTGCAGTTAGAACATTGAAACCTGACCTGGTCTTTCCTTGGTCCCAGCAGAATGTCTGGCAAGAGTCTTTTCCTGGAACCACGTCCACATCCCCGTATCCACCTGTGACTAGATGAGCAGCTTGAGGGAAGCAGTCCCACACGACGGGCCGGCTTTCACGGAGGCACTTTCCGTTGACCGTCCTTTCTGCTTTGTCCTGTAGGTTGGGGACATTGTCATGGTCAAGGAGGATGAGACCTTTCCCTGTGACTTGATCTTCCTTTCCAGCAACCGGGGAGACGGGACGTGCCACGTCACCACCGCCAGCTTGGACGGAGAATCCAGCCATAAAGTAAGGGGCCTTTCCATTAGACTCCAGGGCAGGGTCTTCCTGTCGTGCTTCAGACTATGCCTGTGTGGCCACAGAAACTAACATCCTGTTTGAAAAGTCAGCGTTTTCAGTGGGTGCAATGAAAACCTAGGGAGTTACGCCAGCCAAGTTTTTCCTCACTTTTCCTTCCTCCTATTTTCCACTTTCTTCTTTTTCCTTTTTCAAAATAAATTGTATTGTGTATATTTGAGGCATATATTATGATGTTATAAGATACATATTTTTATAGAGAAATTGTTATTCGAGTTCAACAAATTAACACATCCACGTCTCACATGGTTTCCCATTCTCTTCCCTGGCACCCGTGCAGGAGCAGCCATAACCTACTCGATGCGGCAAAACTCTGAGCCCAGCATGCTGGTGTCCGCTCAGTGCAGCAGAAACCCAGAGCCCCACACAGTCTTGTCAGCTCTAGTCCTCATGCTGTACGTTGGGTCTCTAGATGGTTCATCCTAAATATTGCTACCTTGTGTTCTTTGACTTACACCTCCCCATTTCTTTCCCACTTTTTCTTTCCACTCTCAATGTCTGTAACAACCAGTCACCTCAGGTTAACAGAAATAACTTCAGTGTTAGCCTGTGTCAGTTAGCTAATGTGTCAAATTCAGGATTTAATGAATAGATTGTTGGAATTTTAAGAATTTTCTTTCTACTAGTTAAAATTAATGTGAAAACTGGCCTAGAATTATGTGAAAAGTCACACACAATTCTAGATTTTGCCTGTTACTTCACTGAGTGTCATTTTTGTGAATGTAATCAGGATTTTAATCAGGATTTTCTGAAGTTACTACATAAGTAATTTCCTGCACTCAGTATAAAATTCTGTACAGCCAGTTGATGCTGCAAGAATTTTAATTGACAATCATAAAAGAAAAGATACAGCACCATTAATTTTAAGATTCTTATTATTTAAAAAATCTGGAAGTTTCTAAGGAGTTTATGAAAGTGAGCATAGCTCAGTGGATTCAGCTAAGTCATGAACCCACAGAAGTGCAACTCTACAATGGTATTTAGGTAATGCCTGTGGGTATAAGCCGTTTCTGCCATGAGATAGAGACATTTTGCTTACAAAATCACTGAAGGATATGCTAGTCTTTCATAGATAATTCATGATATGTATCAGGAATTGAAAAACCTGTGGATTTTTTTCAGTTAAATTTGCTTGCACATTTTCTGTGTAGCGTATCCCAGAGAATGAACACACTAACATAATAGATTGTCAGCAGCTTCTGGGGGGCTGGAATCCCTGGATGATTCAGGAATTCATTGTAAGCGGCTGCTGGTCCCTCTGGAACACGGGAGGAGGTTAAGGTTCCATCCACCCAGAGACCGTGTGAGCTCTTCACACTCTGCAGCCAGTGGCTGTCTTTGCACCCCTTTCCTGCAGACTGTGGCTGGTCAGGCTCAGACGAGTCCCAGCCATGCTAGGGAACAAATGCTGTGGGCCTCCAGATGTACCATGTTTGTCCAGATGAAATGTTGTAGCAGTTGTGGAAGATGTTAAAATGGCTAGTGCACTTTGACCTTTTGTGGCTTTGCAGTTTGCATTATAGTTTTGTGTTCTCTAATGTCATTTTTGTGCATTTTGTTTAGCTTGAGGGACTGGAATTATTTGAACCCTTTCCTTAAAAGCAGAGTAGGGGCGTGGGAAGGGTACAGCCGACTTCTACTGGGATCCCGTGGGGCTCACATGACTGCACAGGCTTGTTCACTTATCTGGATTCTTCGCGTCTGTGAAATGGGGGCAGCCCTGTCTCCCAGGGGCTCTTGTGAGGATATAGTTAGAGAATTCCCACTGAATTTAGAAAGTAAGCGCCCCCTGATTTGTGCCCTTGGTGATGGAGCGGCGATCATTTACCCCCGACCCCCATTTGTGCGCTTGGTGACGCAGCGGTGACCGTTTGTGCGCTTGGTG